GTATGGGTGGACTTTTCCTGGTTTACCGCGATGTTCCACCTTTTCAGCCAGCTGTTTAGCGAGTCCTTAAATATGAGCCAAACATTGTTATAGAAGACTTTTAAATAATAAAGCCTCTAAAAGGAACAGTCAGTTGATTAAGGATTTGTGTATTAAAATGCCGTAAATGTATATGTCGAAGATAGCTCTTCCTTTATATTAAACAAAATATATTTTGTTTAAGTCACAATTGACCTGTTCAGCGCATAAAACTGCATAGAAAGCTATCGTAGGATATATTAGCTTCGTTTGAATATAATGTTGCTGAAAAAAAAAAATGGTGTGGAAAAAAGGATTAAAGTAAAGTGTTGAATTAAATTACATTCCTCGCATTTCGCTCGTTGCCTTCCTCGACTATTGACAGTCGGCTAATTGCTTGGGACGATTAAATGTTCAGGTATCCGTTTGTGCTCCGCCAATTGCCATTTCCAATTTGCAACTTTTTTTATTTCTATGGATTCCTAAACATGTTCCTTTTGTTGTTTTTTAATTGAAATTCAATTTATTCTCTTCCAATTTTGTAGCTCTTGACGCTGCCCGCGAGTGCGGCGCAAGCATAGAGGAGCAGTAGAAGCAGGAGCAGGAGCAGAGGACGGTCGGGATTCAAATGTCGTCGTCGAGCAACGGCGGCATCAATAGTGCCACAAATGGCCGCAGTGGCAGCACTGGCAGCGCCAACATAAGCCTCAATCTGAAGGCCAAATCGGGAGCAACAACAACAACAAACACGACAACGACACACAAGACTTTGCCGGATCTGAAGACGCAACGGAGCAACAGCAGCGTCGGCAGCGGCATTGGAGTTGTGGCCAAAACCTTGGCCACACATCGACGCGACAGCTCGCATGTGGAGAAGTCCCTGTTGCCGGAGCGGCCGCTCAGCTATGGCCCGCCGCAGCAGAGCAAAGCTGTCGGGCTGAGCAAGGAGCCCAGGGAGGGACATCTGGTCTACTGTGAGGGTAAACTGCATTCGGGCGCGCTGCAGTCCCTCATCATGCACATGGTGCCCACGCATGACTACTATCCGGAGCACGGTTATCTATTTGCGTTTCTGCTAAGCGGACGCTTGTTCATACGGCCATACGAGCTGCTCGCGCAGATCTCAACCAACTGGGAGCAGCAGCAGCAACAGCAGGCAACCGGCGGCGGTTGCGATGTGGTCGATGATGCAGTTGCTCAGCCGCCGTCGCTATCGCTGCACTTGAACTCCGCCTCGCCGCTGACACAGCGCAAGGGAGCAGCGGCTGGTGGCGGCCAGGAGCTGGAACTGGAGCCAAAGCCGCAGCAGCGCACATTGACGCAGCGTTCGGCGCAGCACTGCATACGTTTGCTATCCGAGTGGATTGAGATCTTTCCATATGACTTTCGGGATGAGCGCCTTATGCAGCAGGTGCGCATATTGGCCAGAAAATGTGTCTACATTGACAACTCGCTGGGCAAGCAGGTGTCGCGCATCTTGCAGCTGCTCGTCGCACGCCTGAAGGCTCTGGAGCAGTACGAGGAATTTCTGCAGACGCTCAACAGCGAGGCCATCGAGCAGCAGTCCCAAAGCCAGCAGCAGCAGCAACAACAACCACATCATCATCATCATCATCATCAGCATCATCTTCATTTGCATAATCCATTTCAAACGTTCTTGGGCAGCTCCCATGTTTCAGCGAGTGGCCACACGACAACGAACGGAACTGCAACGAGCGGCGGCTCCGCGAGCAGCGGCAATTCCACAAATAGTGGCAGCAACTCCGCATCGAGCACCCCGCAGCCAGATGAGGTATTTGGCATTATGGACCTTTGTCCCAGCTGCGAGCACTTGGCCCATCAGCTAACGGCCATCGAATTGGAGCGTCTGTCGCATATTGGACCCGAGGAGTTTGTACAGGCCTTTGCCAAGGATTATCAGCAGGCCAAATGCGCATCAGTCACAGGCAACGCGCCAGTCGATGCGGCCGCGGGTGCGGGTGCGGTAAGCGGCTCCTTGAACGACATGAAGAAGACACGCAATTTGGAATCGTATGTGCAGTGGTTCAATCGCCTCAGCTACTTGACGGCCAGCGAAATTGTTAAGGTGGGTGGAGTTGGAGTTGGGAGTTGGAGGGATTAGCGAGTGCTTAAAATGATTGCATGGCTGCAGGGATGAAAACGATGCGAGTGATAAACGTATGGAAATATGTTTGCTCAGGGCAAAACCATAAAAACGAAATTCAATTTCAAAAAGAGCTAAAAAAAAAAAATTTGAAATCAATAAGTTTCTTCGTGAGTTGCTAAGAAATCAATCCCAATTGATACAGAGGAAATAATTTGAAATACGGACAGAGTATCCCAGTTAGAATATTCTTTTCAGTTAGCATTAGCTTTTTTAGAGAAATCCGAAATATTTCTTAATATCATGCAGATCCAGGAATCATTTTTTAAATATTATCACGAGCTCAGCTCGTTCTTCTGTCATTTTCTATAAAGCTTTTCATCATGACTAATTTCTTCAGTATTTCCACAAAAGAAATAACATTTTTTTATTTCGCCTTTCTATGCGATTCTCACTTATATATTTATCGATGTTTTTCCGCTCTCTTTCTATCTTTAATTTGGATCGCCTTTCTATTCGATTTTTATGTTTTCAAATGAGAAGGAAGAAAAGAATGTTAGGGCTTTCCTTTTTAAGTCAATCCCAGGTGAAGTGTTGGGTTTTAGCTCGCTGCACTGCATCCCTGCTTTCCGCGCATGTGTGTTAGGTAGGGTACCAGTCGAGCATACCATTTATTCATTTCCTTTGTCTGCAATAGTATCCGAAGAAGAAGCAGCGTGTGCGCATTATCGAATATTGGATCGAGACCGCAAGGGAATGCTTTAACATTGGCAATTTCAACAGTCTGATGGCCATAATAGCTGGTCTAAATCTTGCTCCCATTAGCAGACTTAAAAAGACGGTAAGTTTCAAATATTTAAGCTGAGTCGTATAGTTTATTTAAATTTTGTTTTGCAATTTGCAGTGGTCTAAAGTGCAATCGGCAAAATTCTCTGTGCTGGAACATCAAATGGATCCAACATCGAATTTTAATAGTTATCGCTCGACGCTTAAAGCTGCCATGTGGCGCTCCGAGGGCGCTACAGAGGATCGCGAACGCATAATCATTCCATTTTTTAGTTTATTTGTTAAGGATTTATATTTTCTGAACGAAGGCTGCTCGAATCGGTAAGTGCCACAATTGCAATTGAATTTGTAAAATAACTAAATACCAATTCGTTCGATTTTGCAGTTTGCCAAACAATCATATCAACTTTGAGAAATGCTCACAACTAGCCAAACAAGTCATGGAATTCAATGAATGGAAGAAGGTCACGTGTCCATTTGAGAAATTGCCGAATGTAATTGCCTACCTGCAGCATAGTGCGGTGCTCAATGAGAATACACTCGCGATTGCATCCTTTGAGTGTGAACCGCCCGAGAATACCGAGGAGAAGGATCGCTATAAAACTGTGAAAGCCGAAACGAAGCAACAATTGATGCAGCAATTGCAAGAGCAACAACAACAACAACAAATGCAACAACATCAGTAATAGTTGACTCTTAAGCTATTTAGTATACATACTAATTTAAGTTACGCTTAAGCGCTTGCCATGTTTATTTTTTTTAAAACTTAAGTTTTACATAAGTCGATTATACATTTTAAGCCGGGTTGAGAATTGTTTAGGCTAAGCTCAGCAATTAGTTCAGACAAGACGCATGCGCTGCAACTTCTAAGCTGCAAATGACTTCAAAAGCCATTTACTGCATCCTTGAAAGCCTTTATCTGTATATTTTCTTTTTAATTAAGCCCATTCTAAACATCCATTTGACAGCGACTTTATCATCGAACCTATTCTGTTAGTCTCTATACTAACTGGTTTTCACTTAACTCACCTTTGATGCTATTTAACTCTTATATTTCCCATTTTCAACACACATTTTGCATTACTTTCCATTATCCAACACTGCACAGTGGCGCATGCGCCAAAACACAAAACATTATCTAAGAAACGCGAAGCATCTCCAGAATGTTGCCAGTAATTAAATTAATTGAATTAAGCAGATAAGAAGAAACAACAAAATGAGAAGAAAGAAACGAGACAGAATGAATGTATGTACTTAAAGCATTTTATTGCTGCAACTTATCTTATATTTAATTGGTTAAATGTATGTAATACTTAATTACGGCGACGGAAAGAAATCATATTTATACATAATGTCATAATTTATTTGGAACATTTGACAAACTTGCGTGTATGCGTGTTATTTTGTAAGCGAACAGTATTTATATTTATATATTTACACAATTTTATAGCTAAATTAAATCATTTTTAATATTCGATCGTTTCGACGACGCTTTTGTCCTAGAAGCTTCAACATTTATTAACAATTATTAGCAGTGCAGCATATTTCACAAACACAAACAAATGTTTTCTATATATAAGATGAAGAACAACAAAAAGTACACCTTGTGGTAGCTACAATGATGCTTATCCTTTTAAGATATAATTTTTAATCAAGGAAACTACTTATACATAATAAGTATACTTACTTATATTTCAGAAGAAAACAAAAATACAACAAATAGTGGTATGTGCGCGGTATCTCTACGATATTAACTATAAAGGGACTAAATCGACAAACAAAGCCCAACATAATCGATTTAAAAAAGAAACACTGCTTTTGAATAAATCAACTGATCAAAAACCATTCTCATAATACAATTTCCAAAGTGCCTTTCAATATGATGTGTAAAAGATTGTTTAAATGTTCATTTTAACAGCGTGTGTGATTTTAAAATCAAAATATCGTTATGGAACATCCCTTGAGTGCTACATGACAAAAGCTGTTTGCTGTGTCAGCATTCACTGCGATAAATAGTGTTGCCAGACATACAAGAATCGATGGTTCCTCGTGTGATAAAATTGACTTCGATAACTTTTTACCCCAATCAGCCCCTACACCACGGGCACACAAACACACGCAGCGTACCAGTCATAGGGGGCAAGCGGCATCGGCATTGGCGCTGTGTTTTATACGCGACGCGATTCTGTTGGCGTGCAGACGTCTTTACGGTAAATGGTAAATTAAACTAGAAGTCGGCAAAAAGCGCATAAATCTATCTAATTGGAAACAGAACCGAGAACACAAGTGTATCAAATCGAATTTCAATCGTAAATGCGAAATAATCAACAAACGCATTGTTCATAGGTGTGTGTGTGTGTGTGTGAGTTTGTTTGTGTTTGACATTGTAAAGTGCAATTGCAATTTGATGTGTGTGTTTGCTTTTGTTAATTACGTAGCAGAGAGGTAAAACGGTGCCGCGACGGCACCTACGAGCACCAGGACGATTGAATTGGAGTCAACGAGTTGCGCCCAATTTGTTGCATTGAAGTGCAGCTAAGACAAGAACCTGTTGTTGTTGTTGTTATTATCGCTCGTAGTGGGGCAAAAACAAAGAGAACGCAGCGACAAGGCGGAAAAATCGATTGTGCTCATTTTGTTTTGGTTCATGTTCACGTTTGCGTGTTTGTTTGTGTGTGATTGTGTGTGTGTGTGTGTGTGTGTGTAATTTAATGAGTAAGAAAGCAACGCGCGAATTGCAACAATAACAAATCAAGACGATAACCCGATAACAGTATCCATTCTCCTAGGACATTTCTGCACATGGCATGACTCATGCAACACTGCCCATACAAATAAGCAGGAACAATGAAAAATAATCAAAAGTATGCAAAACTGCCCCAAGATTTGGATCTAAGCTTTCAAAGTGATTTAGACTTGCTGCCGGACACAGCAGCCGATATCGATGTCGATGAGTTCAATGCGAGTGGAACGCCACCTGCTGGTTTAATACTAAACGACGACGACGTCGACGCCGGCGACGACGACGACGACGACGACGAAGACGACGAAATTGTCATTGCAGCGCAGGTTGTGGGCGGCAGCGACGGCAGCGGCGGTGGCGGGGGCCTGCGTTTAGCCACACGTAAGCAGCGTAGACAGCGCAAGCAGCAATACGAGCAGAAATTATACAACAATAAGAACAAGATCTGCGGACTGGGCAGTGACAGTGTTATCGAGGTGAGTCAATAACTGCTATCGATAACAGACTAATGCACTAAAATTTGTGCGGTGCTGTTATCGATACGATCAGTGATCAACTTAGTTTAAGAGACAAATATTTTAAGGGGGTAAATGATAAAATTGGTTTTCCAAGCTCGTTTCACATTAAACGTTATCATTATATTTATTTTTTTCACCTCCCACTAAAATAATCTCTGAATTGCTAGCTAAAAATACGTATTTAGCCAAAGCGAAAGATAAAAACAAATTGCTAGCACAAATTACAACCACAACGCAAAACAAAGAACCAGAAAAAAAAACAACGCCGACAACGCTGCAACGAAGAAATATAAAAATCGATTTGGCAACAAAGAATGAAAGAAATATTCAGGCATTCGTAGCAGCTCACCTGAACGAACCAAAACCAAGAGTTCAAAAGTAATTTCTATTGTTTATTTAAATGTTAAAGCAAACAAAAGCTCCGAGTTGCCAGAGTTTGCAGAGTTCAGCTCTGGCCAAGGAAATCACTTTTAACGCGCCAGATATTAATGGGTTTATGTTGTTGTCAACGTCATTTGGCGGCGGGGAGACGCGTAATGACATCTACTTAAAATGTATTTGAAAAGTCCAGGGTTTCCTTTGTGTGGCCGCACAGTGTGGCATGCTCGCAGCGGCTTATATAAGTTCTATTTTACGCAGCTTATCTCTTAAGCAGGCGAATTGCATACACTGAAAAAAAAGTCGAGTTCAGATCTTATTTTTAGTTTGACTGAAAGTTTAATAAAGACCCCGAAAAGTTTGAATTTTTAAGGCTTTTATGCCTTGTTCTATTTAGATACTTTGCACAGTGCATTTAAGGGGCACAAAAATCAATAGCAGTAGGTATCTATTTTCCATTTACCCAAGTCTAGGCTATATATGTACATAACTAATGGAATAAAGTTTTGCGTACTTAATGACAAGGCGTTCACACCTGGCCATTAACTAAATGTGTATGTTTATTTACCTTTATGCCAGCTATGAATATACGTACATACATATTTACGCTTTGCCCCGCCTCCTTCTACAGCTCAGCTCAATCAATAATGCGTCAAGCCCATGTCAATCATAGCCGTTGTGAAATTGCTGTGCATTTTAAAATAAAGTACAACCCCCCTTTGAAAAGCGCTCAATAATTGTGGCACGCGTGGATGTAGCGCCATCTAGCGGTTAGAATATTAACTATTCGAGCTATAGAGCGTGGTTATTCAGACTACATTTATGTAGCTTAGGAGTTTTTATAGAGGAAATTTGAATATGTAATGATTTTTTCAATGAATTTTTGGGTTACTTCACTTCATCAAAGTTTTTTGAAAATAATTAAAATTATTTCGAATGCAGACATTTCAGATTATTAAATTGCCAATTCTTATTTCTGGGCTATTCCAATTTCTGAGTTTCTATATGTAATACCTTTTGTCGATTCTGACAAAATGAGGCAAATTTGATAAGCGTGTCAATCTCAATGCAGATTATTCGTATTTCGCATTGCGTGCCAAGTTGTATGGCCTACAATTCGGATAATATGAACAGCTCTGTTGGAGGATTACGTATGAAGGTGACAAATAGGGCATGTGTGTGCGTGTGTGTGTGTGTGTGTGTGTGTGGGGTCTCTGCGTGCAATTAGTGGTAGTATATATTTATTTTGCATTAAGCTTTATTTCATTGGCATTTCATTGCGAAAATTGTTTGGACTTCAGAGTTCTGATAGCATTCGCTCTAATGGCCTTAACGCTTAATTAAGCACATAAGCTTAATGGAAAACGATTTAAATGACACGTTTTTGCATTCTATTGGGATCGTTTCATATCATTTTTAATTAATAACTATTTATTCACTAGATGATTACGGAGTGCACAGAGTTTGATGATGATGTTGACATTTCTAGAACTACACATTATTAAATATTTAAATTGCAATCAGTAGATAACTCGGCCGCTCTTATAATCCTTCCAGCATTTGCTCCAATGCGGACAATCTGGCGCTCTGAAGCCTATAAATTGATAATAACACAATCGTTTTCCTCCCAAGAAACTTAAGTACACTCCATAACTCACCACTGGCCAAGGCAATCGTAGTGAAGACCAAAAACAAGGCGACTTTAATCTTCATTTTGTCTAGGTCTTGCAGTCTGCGGCAGCTCGATTTCAACTGATGCTCGGGTCTTAAATTGATAATTTATATGCATATTTTTTACAGCGCATTTATTGTAATCTCTGGGAAAGTCCTATAGTATACATACTTATCGCTAAAGAGTCTGTCTGGCTACCTTGGGTTTTTTATTTAGCCTAATCTTACATGGGTTATTTTCTATATTGAAAACTTATGCCGATAGTTAATCAAGTTTACTATATAATTGTTGATGTCTGCTTTTTATTTTGAATATAAGATCAGATTGCTATTTGATTTATAATCTGACAATCTCTGTTTAAATATGCTTTTCCTCGTTTTGATTTTCGATTTTACTGGAATAAAAATGAGTATGCAAATTAACATATATGCATCGTGCCTTATCAGCTATCAGCGCACATTAAAATATGTAAATCATGTGTAGGTGTTGTCGGGAAGTATTTCTATTTTTCAGATGGTTGTCAATGGGATTTATAATTTTCTTATTGATGCTTTAGCGAAAAACAACGCAGTTTAACGGGCACTTGGGGGCGATGCTTGACCTATCTTATTAGTTATAGGCTGTATCAACTATTTAGATAGATTACAAAAAAACCTTAAACTTGATAGGTTTTGTGAAAGATTCGGGTTTTCTTTGGGTATTCAATCAATTTGGTATTCAATCAAATATGTCTTTGCAGGCAAATTAATTAAGCAACTTATCGATTGTGCTACGCTTCGATATTTTGTGTAATTACTATCGATACTTTCGATAGCATATTTAAGCATATTATAGAGAGTATTCAATTTTAAATTGTGGCATAGCAATACTTTTGTGATTGTTTATTACATTAAAAGAAATCATGCTATGAGCATAGATAGGGATAGAAAAGAAGAAAATAAAATGATCGATAATAATATAAATGTATATTGTAATTTATAGCTAAAATAGGAGCTGTCGGTCAATAATTAGGTTCTTGTATGACAATTTACTATGCTCTCTATATATAAGGAAAATCTCATTAAGGTCAATCTACTATATCATTGAGATACTATATCAAACTTTTCTTGGAAAACTTTTCTGTTCTTTTAGTTATCCTGACTCAGAGATTATGCGCTCTAATGATCTCCTCTCATATCTGCACGCCCATAAGTGTATTTAACGTTCGGCTTGTCGAAGAAAGCCCATTTTCTTGTTCTTATGATAATATTACCTACATTTAAGGCTCTATTGCTACCTTGTCCCTGTTCTCATTCGCCTCTTTGTGTGTGTGTGCATGTCTGCGTCTGTGTTTGTGTTTGCCTGTGTGCGTGTGCGTGTGAACTAACCAATTAATTTATGCTCTGGCCCCGACTCAAATGTGGCTCGCATCAAGTGCCGCTCATTTTGAACGAGAGACTCGGCTGAACCGTTGCAAGCTAACCTACATTCTCGGGCAGCGTTGTCCTCGTTGCAGGCACACGTTGCACGTTGCACGTTGCAGTTGTTGTCGCTGTCGCTGCCGCAACACGCATACGCCCCTTGCTACGTGCTACGTGCGGAGCTTCATTTCTGGCTCAACTGGCCGTTCAACGTTGTGTTCTCTGTGTGCTTCCCCTTTGTTTGTTTATTTTAGTAAACACAATGCACAAAAAAAAAACAGCAGAGCAATAACATGCAGCAAGGAGGCGTGGCAGTGGCAAGTGCTTTTGTGGCGTTGCATAGGCGTTGTTGGTGGGCGCGGCCGCTGTGTCGCCCGTCGCCTGTCGCCTCGGTGGCCTTTTGTTTTTGGGATTTGTGACATGCAAAATAAATGCAGAAAACGCTTTGTGCTCCATGAATTTATAACAGGGCTAAGAAAATGTTATCAACCGGGCTTACAGTCAACGGAGCCATCCAGCAGAGCAAAAATCCTACATTTAAGCGCATTACACACTATAATAAAATCATAATATAATGTGCATTATTATGTGCCATCGCTCGGCTACGTGTTGGCTGTAATGAAGACTGAATCACGTTGATGGAGGCAAATACACACATTTCTACAGCTTCTTCTTCTCGCCATTTAACATAATTTTGCATAGCTTGAGCAGGTATTATATATGTATGCTGCAACCATATTATGATAGTCGCATTAGATGCTGGCCCTTAAATGTGTATTTATTAATTATTTATATCCTGAACATAGGCATATTATTATTCATATTTTTCTATAATAAACTTTGTGAGAAAAGTGTGATGGTTAAGTAATATGCATTTGCAATATATTTCTATACATTATATAGGATATATATATGATATGCTGATATACTTATCCAAAGTTAATAAGATTTTGTTTTGCACAGAGCATAGCTTGTTGCTGAGTTTGATTGAGATTGTCTTTAAAATCTTATCTATATATGAGAGTTCAATTCTCGACTGATAATTGCATTGCAGTTATATGATATAATTTTCCCATCCGATCGGCATTTGTTCTGCTTGCAATAAGTTCAAGTTTGCTTTAAGACCGTGAGACTTATTTGTTTCGGTTGTTCCTACCAAAGAAAGCTTGATTTTCAAAAAGTTGAAAAATTGAGCGGGTGGCCTTTGCAGAGCTTAAAGCTAGTTGCCTGGCGTATCGTTTAAAAAACGAAAAGCCACATGAAAAGCCAGGCTAGAAATCTTAATGTTAAAATATAATGTCTTTCTTTATACTGATTAAGAAGATATATACTTTATGGGATCACGAATGTTTCCCTCTATATAATGATCCTCTGCAAATCGAAATCGATATATTTTATAAAAAACCCCCGCCCTTTGATTTGATCTTTTGTATATCCCATCGATATCATTTCTGATTTTAATTTATCAGTAAATAGAGCTAAGCAGAGCCAAGCTTTGTGATCCTTATCCAATTTCAATTTAAAGCTGAACAGGGAGTAAGTAGGAAAAAAAGAGAGGGTAAGAGAGAGGGAAAGCGTGAGAGCGTAAAAGCGTAAGAGGAGAAGCAAGAAAGGGATGTATAAGAACAGAGGAGTTTGTTCAAAGATGTATGCATTTTCTTATATAAAACATACACCAAGATCAAAATTAACATTTTTTTTAATTCAAACATTCACAATGATCAAAATTAACTTTATGAAATTCGAAAATGAAAATAAAATAAAATTAGTCATGACTTTAAATGCACACACACTGCCTTTTCGGAGCTATAAAAGTTTTTAAAATTTAATTTATTTTTTTTCTCCTTCCACTTTTGCAAATATAATTTGCACTTTTAATTGGTCATAAAAAAAAAGAGAGAAGGCGAAAAACCAACCAGTTGGCCAGTTGGCCAAATTGTTAACTAGCAACTCGCATCCTGCAGGCGTTGAGCAAAAGTTTGTTTCCCAATTTCATGTTGTATTTTCTCCAAAAATATTCCCCTCCCTCCCTGCTGCTTTAGAATGGGTTTTGTGTACATTTATGCAATTAGAAGATTAAGCTGGGATTTAGATAATCCTTTTTTAAGATAATTTAATGGATTTCAAATATTTTATAAATAGTCTCTTATTCGTGCAGAAGCGAGCTAGTTGTTTATACGCAAACTATAGTTTAAGCTTCTACAATCTTCTACATTAACTCTTTTGACTACCTGGTTCCTAATTTTCATGCAATTTTAATGCGTATCCAAAAATGCCGCAATATTTGTGGCCTGTGCTCAAGAATTTGGCATAAAATTTAACAAATTGAATTAATTGGGTGCAAAATTTTAAAACGCAAAGAACACAAAAGCCACTAAATGTCGGTTACAAAAATAACATAGAACCGAAAAATAACAAAATAAAAAGGAAACCCAACTAACCTACCAAAAAGTTATCTAAAAGTTGGGTTTGAGGGCAACAACAAAGTGCAGTACGCTCGCAGCAGATACCCTGTAAAAGTTCTAAGGCTTTATAATTATTTTATGTTGTTATATAGACTTGTGGATAAATTGATGCTGCTGAAGAATATATATATATGTATATTTTATGTGGGAACATATATATATCCTCTTTTGCATATAACATAAATTGGTACACATTAAAATTACACTTTTTACCCAGTTGTATGGCTAATGGTTATATAAATGCGCTGGCAAAGAATTTTGTGAACATTTTGTATGAAATCAAAGTTCAAAGGGAAGGCACAAAGGTTGCCAGTTGGAGAATGTGAACTGGCAAGCCTTGTAATGTACGCAATGTGAAAGCAGCTGCCCTGAAATGTATGCTACGAATGTCTGGCAACTGCAACATTGCGTATACGCGTCGAAGCCTGCTTAATGCGCCTGCATGGCAACATAATTACCATTATAATTATCATGATATATAGCGGCAATTAAAGGGGGCAAAGTCTTCGAAGTAATTTCATATCCGTCTGATTTTAAATGCAGCGTCAAGAGCAGCTGACGCCACATGCAAATGACAGTTATGAGCACGATGTGGGGGTTGGGTTGAGTTGGGCTTGTGATTCATGGATAGTTGGGCGTACGTATGGCTATAACGCTGCTCTGTGAGCCATAATAAACAATACAATCAACAGGAAGTGAGCACAACGAGCTGGCAGCTGCAGGAGCTGCCGAAAAGCAAAAACTTCCGCTGCGCCAGCCCTGATAAAAGAAGCCCAAAAAGGACTAAGCCTGGCACGAGTTGCGGCTGCTCCTGGATTTTTGCCGGTGCGCCTGTCTCTACCTCTGCCCTTGCCTTGTAAACATGCTAAAATTGTCAATTGAAAAGTAACACAGAGGCAGCAGCAAAGTCATAATATAACGAGCAGGCAACCATATAACAAACAACAGCAACACACGTACAGCCAACAATAACAACAGCAACGTACAACATACAACATGTGGCAAATCTGTGCTAAAAGAGCCCGCGGGAGCCCAGACCCAGCTCTAGGTGGGAAGGCCTTTTGTACCAATGCTTTGTTGCTGCCTTCTCGGGTTGCTTTATACCACTTAGTTAAGCGCGAAAATGGGGCATATTCATTGTAGATTGTAGTGTCCTTGTAAATGGGATTATAAGTTAGAATAGCCATGTCCACCAGTTCGTCCGTCCGTCTGCCTGAACTAGTCTCTCAGGCTTGAAGCTATCGTCCCGACACTTTTAATAGGTCGGCTTTGCTGTGACAGCCAGTAAACATGTTGGAACAGGCCGGATCGATCCACTATGCCATATACACAGGTCTATAGAAACGATCGGTCAAAAAGTAGGTTCTTGTGTGGAAAATTCTTTTGTTTATCAAGATATCTTGAATAAAGTTGGCGTTTATTA